TGGGGAGCGGGTGCAAGGAAATTAACAGCCACCGCGCCGCGCCTGCCACCCGCCGCCCTCTCACCTGCCACCCCCTCGCCAGCCCTGCAAGGCCGGGGCTCCCAGCCAGGCCAGGGGCTCCCAGCCAGGCCAGTCCGTCGTGGGCTGCGGGGAGGGGGTGGGTCAGAGGAGAGAGGGGAGGGGGAGGGCAGGGATGGGCATACACCGGCGTCTGGGCACACCGTCTCCTGCAAGCACGAAGGAACACACGCAGCCCGGAGCAGGCGAGTCTAGACGGCTCTGTGTCAACAGCCGAAGATAAATAAGATTTTATCAGCTCAGAATCTGTTGAAACACATCCATCTAGCGGTTCTAGGGAAGGAGAGGCAGGAGGGAGGGAGAGAGGAAGCACCTCCACGTGACCTTTTCTGTGGAATAGACAGGACCCAGGAGTCTTCCTCCTTTCTGCCCGCCTTTCCTCAGCACCAAACCCCAAGGCCCAGGAGCTCTGGGAGGAGGGGAGGGAGCTGGGGGATGGCGGGGAGTGCTCACACGCTCCTGGGTTGAGGCCTGGCTCTTCAATATTCCAGGGCTCCTTCATCTCCTAAAGGTCTCACCCCCACGCCCTGCCCCGGGTTTGGCCATCCCAGGCTCCCCTCCTGCCCTGCAGCCCAGCAGCCACCTGTGTGACCACCAGATGGTACCAGGTGTGGGGAAATCTCAGGCATCCCTCCCTCAGGCTGCCCAACAGGGGACAGGCTGGGTATCCGTGGGACCAACCCCTTGCCGGGGTGGGGGCCGGCACGGGTGTGTGCCTGCAGGCTCCATGGGCAGGCAGCCGGGGCAGCACTGGGCTGGGAACACTCCTGTGGGGAATGGAGCCAGGCCCAAAGCCGGCAGTGGCCTTGCCCAGGACGCAGAGGGAGGGATGGGTGCCTTCCTCTCTCCATCCTGAGGCCTGGGCCCCGCTGGCCCCGGTGAGGACCTGCCCACCCCAGGACGCTCTGCACTCCCAGCCCCAGCCCAGCTCAGAGAGGCAGCTGCGCCCGCGCGGTACCAGGGACAGCTCCCGGCGGCTCCTCCCTGGGGCGGGGCGTCCACACGCACCGCCCCCAACCCCGACCCAGCCGCTGTCGGCGCGAACGTCCCTGCCTTTTCCTTGGGACCTCGGCCTCGGAGTCCAGAAAGCACGAGCACCCACTGGGGCCCCCACCAGACCTGGGCTTCGAGAGAGGGCCCATGCACCGTCCCGCCCAGGCTCAGCCAGGCGCTGCCCTGAGTCCAGTACCTCTGTCTGCCCGTCTGCGAAATGAGTGCAGAGCCCCAGCTGCTGCAGCTGCCCAGGGGAGTGGGAGCCCAGGCTCCCCAGGAGGCGGCTGGTGTGGCTGGGGTGGGGGGTTTTGAAGCAGTGCCCCCACTGTTCAGAGCCAAAGGGGCTATCAGGGAGCTGCGGAGGGGGCGCTGCACACGCCTTCGTTCAGCTCTGCCTGGAACCCAGCTCCATCCCTGTAGGCACTTGGCTCAAGAGCCAAGGGAGCTTCCCTCCCAAGCCCCTGCCCCCACCCCCATGTTGTGTTGGGGCTGCCCAGGAATGTGGCCAGCCACAGGCCCCTGTCACTCCTGGGCTGCCCACTCTAGCCCAGCTGAGCCTGGGTCCTGCCTTCATGGGCCTAAAGATCCCATCTCAGGCCATGGGCCTGAGCACAAGGTCAGAGGACTAATGGGGGCCTATGGGTGGTTGGCCCCAGAAGGGGGCTGCAGGGCCTGATGCCCCTGGGGGCCCATTTGGCTCCAAGGCCTCCCCATCTACAGCCTCCGTCTTTGGACAGCTGCCCCCGCTCACACCAGGGGCCAGGAACCATCTCACCTGGAAATGATGTTACCGTAACGCGAGCTGGGTGCCGTTCAAGGGTGTTGTACATAGTAAGTCACGGGCCCACCAGCCGAGCCACGGAGAGGTTTGTCCAGAAGTTTAAGGCACCCATCTGCCAGATGCCAAAGCCGGACCTGGGACGCAGTGGGCAGACCTCAAAGGCCGTTGTCCTCTTGCCAACCCCCCCTCCTGTTAGGCCTGTTTCACAGGGTGTCTGTCACCCAGCGACAGAAGCAGGCCCCTCTCTGAGGGTCCTCTGCATGCCCCCTCCCCAACCCCAGGCCACCTCACCCATTGGACACCTCCACAGGCATGCCTGGGTCCCCTGCAGGGGAAGGGGACACCCTCCAGAATCCACCAGCTGCTGCGGAAGGGCCTGATCCCACTGGCCATCGGCTGAGGCCAGTCAGTGCCCAGGGTTCGGTGGCTTTCAGGAGTGAGCCTCCAGTAAGTCTAGATTCTTCTGGGGGCTGCAGAGGCTCTCAGCCCATTTTCCTTAGTGAGCTTAGAGCCTGGCAAACAATAGGGCTAGGTGCTCAACAAATGCTTGCTGAATGGATGGTTCTCTGCGTCCTTGACTAGCCACAATGTCACTAGTTGTGTTCAGGTCCCTGCAGGCCAGCCGAGGCCCACCATCCCCTGTGGGGGCCTCCTCCACCAGGAAGCCACCTTGGGTGACCCTGCTCACCCTGATCCTCTCAGAGCACCTCCGTGATGCCCACCAGGCAGTTCCCTGCCTGAGACTAATTGCACACTTGTCTCTGAGTCAGAGACCTGTTCTGAAGCCTCGCTTGTGGGTGGACAAGAGAGCTGGGTACTAAACTGGTACCTAGTGTTTACTTGGGGCTGGGGCATCCTTTGTGCTCTGTGAGCTTCACTTCACTCCACCTGCATCTCCTGGGGAGGGGCCACAGGAAGTATGGAGTCAACATGCATTGATTGAGTACCAACTGCACACCTCCATCTGCTGCATAAGAGAGGAGGGGATAGGGCGGCTCTACCTTCCTCCAGTGCCTGAACTCCGGGGGGAATGTGTGCTCTGCACACAGGAGGCGCTCTATAAATGCTCAACAAGGGGCAGCTTGCTGTGCAGGCTTCCCCGGACCTTGGAGAAGCCTGGTAACCTCTTCTCCAATTGCTGCCCTGCGCCCCTCTCTCCTGCCCCGGCACTGGCTCTGAGAGGAGCCCGCCCTCACCTGGCTCACCCGGCCGCCTCCTTCCATCCCCAGCCCACAAAGATAGAGACCACACTGCAGTGTGCTGGCTTGAGGCGGGGCCTTTCTCCAAGAAACCAGAGCCTGGACACAGCAGAGGTCAGGCCGAGAGCAGGTCTGAGTCTCATGGGCACCCAGTTTATCCCCCAAACCAGGGCTTTGGGGAGTGAAGGGGCGACATTTGTACTGATGGGGACACTGGAGGTCAGCACTCATCCCCAGGGAAGCAGGACTGACCCCCACAACAACAAGCAGATTGCCTGCTCCTGCCAGGGGGCTCCTGAACCTATGTGGGTGCTGGTGGCCACTCGCCCTGCAAAGGTGTTTTCTGCTTTTCTAAACAGTGCCCACCCGCAGGGCTGTGCAGGACGATTCTTTCCTGTGTTTTAAATAGGACTGGGGATGCTGCTTTCTGCCTGAGGTGGGGGTCCCAGGCTGTCCTGGGCACCAGAGACCCCAGGTGGATGGGGCACCTGGGAGGGGGCAAGCCCAGTGGGCAGCCAATTCCCATCTGTGATGGGGGGCAGAGGGGGGCTCGTCTTAAAGTCAGCATTGAAGGGAAGTTGGGCAGAGTCTCAATGCCCTGAGGATGCCACTAGGGAGACCCCAGCCCACGTGTCCCCCGAGTCCTCTCGGACCGCACCCCAGGGACTGGGAGGCATTTCTGGCTGGGTTCCAGAGGAGGGACGGTTCTGGGGACCTCTTGCTTGAGGGCTCAGGGTCAGCTCCATCTCCTGGGACCCTTCTCTCGCTGTTCGTGCACTTGAACTTGCTGAGGGTATGAGGCCCTGAGGGTCTACTGTGTTCCCTGATGGCCAGAGAAGCAGTGCTGGTGGCTGGTGGGGGCCTTACGTTTGTGGAGGTGGGATGTCAGGGCCCCCCTTCCTTGGCAAAGGTGGGCTGAGACCTGCTCCTTCCTTGTTCTGCCATCAGCTCCCTGTCTCCGGCCTCAGTTTCCCCAACTGTACCATGGGGTGCAATGGGCACACTCTGGGGCTTTGTGGTTGGAGTAACTCCAAGTCCCCACTGTCCCTGGGGAAAGGGACATGAGGAGCCCCGGGTGGGTCCCCAGGAGCCAATCATTGGGAAATTGGCCAGCTTGGAAACGAGTGGGCACCCCTGTGGTCACCAGCAGGGTCACCCTTGGACTCATGAGAGCCAGCCTAGGTCCTCAGGTGGGCCACCTGGACCCCTGGGCGCCAGCCCTGGAGGTCCCTGCTGTGATCAGGAAGGGCACCATCTGATCCTCTGTGGAGCAGGGTGCAGGCAGGGGGTACTGGGACTGCGTGGTCAGAGGGCTCCCCACCCAGTGGCCAAAACCAAGCAACAGAGCTTAGCCCCTCAGACTACATGTTCCAGGGAGCTCCCTCCCGAAGCTCGAGGGCATAGGGGTACCGGGCTCATCCGAAAACCACACGTTTCCTCTGCACAAATGCCAGAAAGGCCTAACTCTGGACTTTCAAAAACTGAGTCTCGTCGCTGCATGCCCCCCACTTCAAACCACTGCGGGCCGGGGGTTTAAGGTCCCCAGCAGGGAGAGCCGGGCTTGACTCGGGGGACCTGGCTCCCAGGCCCCACTCTCCAGCAGCTCCTTCTCGCTTTCCTGGCCTTTACTGTCCTTATCCAAAAGGTAGATGCAGTGGCATCTACCTCTCCAGCCAGTGGGATCCAGATAGAAAGCCGCAGATCCAGGGTGCCACAGCTGGCTCTCGGGGCAGCTGCTCTCACTGCCCCTGGAGGGCGCCGGGGGCACTTTGAAGAAAGGACACCTGGAGGCGCTCGGCAGAGGGGAGGGGCGCACACATGGAGGCCATCATCAGAGAGCTTGGGAAGGGGCTCCGGACAGCCGGTGGACAGCCAGGCGCTCCTGGAGAGGCACAGCCAGGGAGGGTGTACAGTTGGGACTCCTGGCCTCAACCTGGCTCCCCCCGCAGTACTCGCCGCTGTTGAAGAAGCTCTACTGCCAAATCGCCAAGACATGCCCCATCCAGATCAAGGTGTCCACCCCGCCGCCCCCGGGCACTGCCATCCGTGCCATGCCCGTCTACAAGAAGGCAGAGCACGTGACCGAGGTCGTGAAGCGCTGCCCCAACCATGAGCTTGGGCGGGACTTCAACGAAGGTGAGGCCCCAGGCCCCATGCCCGGAGGCCAGGGTGCCCCAGTGGGAAGGGGAGGGCTGGCCCAGGGCATCCTACAGGGTGCCGACAGCAGGGGCCGGTGGGAGGGGCTGACGGGGTGGGCTCAGCTTTTCCCCAGCCCTATTTCCTCCCAGCTCTGCCTCGGCCTGGGGTGCCGGCGCCCATGGGAGAAGGGGAGCAGGGCTGCTGGCCAGGCACCCCGAGGGCACGAGGGCTGCCGGCGGCCTGAGCCCCACCTGGGAAGTCCCCAGGGCCAGGCCTTGTGGTCCCGTCTGCTGCGATGCGCCCAGCCCAGGGGTGGCAGGACCCGGGCTGGGCACCTCTCTGAAGCGGTCTCCCCTCCCGGCAGGACAGTCTGCCCCGGCCAGCCACCTCATCCGCGTGGAGGGCAACAACCTCTCGCAGTATGTGGACGACCCCGTCACCGGCCGGCAGAGCGTCATGGTACCCTACGAGCCCCCACAGGTAGGCCAGAGCCAGGCTGCAGTGGAACCCCCACCGCCCCCACCCCCTAGCAGAGACCGCTCGGCTCGTGTCACTTCAGTCGGCCGATCTGTTTGTCCCGAGTATCTCCAAGTTCAGTCTGTTCAGGGGAGGTCCCCGCTGGTTTCTGACCACCCACCGTGCCCTCGGCCCCCTCTGGGCTTCAGCGTCCCCAGCTACCGTGGGGGGTGGGCCTGACAACACCTGAGCCTCAGCCCTGTGCTTCCGTCCCCTCTTCCCACTGTCCATTCCCCACACGCTAGTCCGGCCTGGGGCTCTGGGGGATGGAGGGGCTGAGGCCTGGAGGACTGGAGATGGCCGGGTGGAGTGCGAGGGTGAGGAGGGGCAGCAGAGAGAACCACAGTCAGGGACATGGGGGTGCAGGGCCTCGAGGTGGGGGTGCTGCAGGAGGTGGGCAGGGGCAAAAAGACCCTGAGGGTCTGACTTGGACCTAAGGGCAGCAGAAGGTTCTGGGGCTGGTGTGGGAGCCCAGCTGGAATGAAAAGCTGGGGGTGGAAAGAAGTAGGGGTAGAGGGGCTGAGGGGTGATGGTGGGATGGGGGCCAGTACGAGGGGTGGAGAGCAGGTCCCAGCTCTGGGCCCTGTGGGCCATGCTTTCCAGGGTGGGGCGGTGACAGCAAGCCCCCACCTTTCCTCTGTCTGGGTTTGAGGCCAGTCCCCTAGACCTCCAAAGCTGTACCCAGCCCCCCACCCCCTGTACCTGGTCCCCACCCCTGTACTTGGTCCCCATCCCTATACATGGTCCCCATCCCTGTACCTGCTCCCCACCTCTGTACCTGCTCCCCATCCCTCTGCCTGGCTCCCAGGCCCCACCAGGCACCTTCCCAAGGTCCCCTAAGAGCAGCCTTTATGTCCGCGGGCCCAGGGCCCTCCCTCCCCCGTGCCCCGCCCTCACCTGCCAAATCTGCCCAGGAAAGCAGGGCTCTCCCGCCCCCTGGTGGCTGCCATGTGCTGGCAGTTTTGTGAAAGGCCAGGTTTTCCCAAGCCAGTGACTGGCTTTTAGATCCTGACCCAGGGAGACCATGACAACCGCCCATTTTGTGGTCCCAGGTGGTCAGGAGTCCTGGGTTCATGACTCAGCACTCTACAAACTCCCTGGGAAATGGGCGTGTGTGCTGGGGGTGGGGGTCCCCCCGGACTGCTACAGTCCCTCCCTCTGCCAGAGCAGCCGTGCATCCTTCTGCCCAGAAGAGCCCCCAGCATGGAAAACACACACCTGTGCCCACAGAGGCCTGTGCACACACCCGCTCATACCCACCCTCCAGGGCCTGACCTCCAACCTGTGTCAGGGGAGATGGCTGGGGCAACCAGACCACAGCACTCTGTGCCTCCCAAGAGCAGAGACCAGGTCCAAGCTCACTTGGCACCCAGAGCCAGCACAGTGCCTGGCACTCAGTGTGCTGCATGAATGGATTAGATGGGTGGGTGGGTGGTGAATGGATTAGATGGGTGGGTGGGTGGTGAATGGATAGATGGGTAGGTGGGTGGTGAATGGATTAGATGGGTGGGTGGGTGATGAATGGATAGATGGTTGGATGGATGGTAGGTGGATGTGGATGGGTGGATAGATGATGGGTGGATGGATGGCAAAGGACCACAGAGCAGGGCCCAGTTCCCACAAGCCTACCCAGAGCCAGCACTAAATATGAGGGATGGGTGGTTTGAGACCCAGGAGCCCCCACCTTAGTGAGTTGGGGCCTGCTTGCTGACCCCTGCCTCCCCTGTGTGTAGGTGGGGACGGAATTCACCACCATCCTGTACAACTTCATGTGCAACAGCAGCTGCGTCGGGGGCATGAACCGGCGGCCCATCCTCATCATCATCACCCTGGAGACCCGGGAGTGCGTCTGCCGGCACACGGGGGCGGGCAGAGCAGGGACTTGAGCCAGGGCTGCTGGTCGGCATGGACACAGGGAGGCCCAGGACAAAGAGTGGTGCCTGGAGGAGGACTCTGAAGGCCATGTAGCTGGGAGGGAGGGACGTGCCCTGGCTGCAGGGGCTGCTTGGGTGGGAGCTGGGCCTCGGGAGGGAGGCAAGGGACCTGGTGTCCCAGAGCAGCTGGGTGCTTAGCCGTGACCCCTCGGCCCATCAAGGCCAGTCCGTGGGGTCCAAGGTGGGTGGGGAGGGTGGGCAGGGCTGGGGTGGGCTCCGAAGCTCACGGTTCTGGCTGTGCCCCCCGACAGTGGACAGGTGCTGGGCCGCCGGTCCTTCGAGGGCCGCATCTGTGCCTGTCCTGGCCGAGACCGCAAAGCTGATGAGGACCACTATCGCGAGCAGCAGGCCCTGAACGAGAGCGCCGCCAAGAACGGGGCTGCCAGCAAGCGGGGTGAGGCCAGGGCGCGGAGGGCAACCCCAGAATGTTAGAGCCGGGCCACCCTGCAGGATGGGGCTGGACCTGCCTCAGGTGAAAGCTGGCAGGGCGCAGTGCAAGCCTGTGTCCAGGGGTCAGAGCCAGCCCCGCCCATGTGGCCACCCCAGGTCCAGCTCCATCCAGCGTGGGCAGCTGCTCCGCATTTGCTCATCCGAGTGGGTTACGGTCTCTGGGCCTGTCCAGGAGGTGCACGCACACGAGGGCTGGCTCCGGGCGTGGCGGGTGTCCTGTCGTTTTTGCCTGCATTGGCCCGCCTCCTCCTCGCGCGCTCACAAAGCCTTCCCTGCCTTGCCTTCCAGCCTTCAAGCAGAGCCCCCCTGCCATCCCTGCCCTGGGCACCAACGTGAAGAAGAGGCGGCATGGGGACGAGGACATGTACTACATGCACGTGAGTGTCCTGTGTCTGTGGAGCCCAGGCTGGGGCAGCTGGGGAGGAGACCCAGGGGCCACTGGGGAGGCAGGAGGGACCCCGGTCACCCTGAGAGCTGGGACCCCAGGCTCTGCAGGCAGCAGGGCCGTGAAAGGAGAACCAGGTCACAGAAAGCCAGACCAGACAGGGCCAGACGGCAGGGAGACCTGGGTCCGCGGAGTTGGGGACTCTGCGTGACACAATTCCAAACACCCGAAGCCTCGCTGTAGATATGACATGTGGGGTGACACAGATCCCCAAGGGGAAGTGCATGAGGAATCCCATAGCCCCAAAGTCTGTCAGGCCACGTCATTGTAACCCGAATTGACACGACTGTCCCATGATGTGACCACTCCAGGTGGTGACAAAATCACCCATGTGCTTTGCTGGGACTGCGCTTCCCTTGTGTGGGCTTGTCGTTTTTCGAGTTTTTCAGGAATGAGTCCCTCATTCTAAAAGCCTCGTATTTGTTGAGTGTCCCCCAGCACCCCAAGTGTGCTAAGTGCTGGGGAGCAAGGGGGGAAGGCGGGGTGAAGGCTCAGGGGCAGGAAGCGGTGGACAGCAGGGACCTGGCCACCTGTTCCTGGGGAGGGGGAAGGAAGGGGTGAGGACCCCCAGCCTGCAGGGTGCCAGGGAACCCTGCGAGAGAAGAGATGCTTCACTGCAAGCCCAGGGTCCCCCTGAGGCTCCCACCAGGGGTCAGAGGCCGGGAGGAGTCTCACAGGCACCTGGGCAGAGGGTCCGCCTCGCTGTGCTCAGGTGCGGGGCCGGGAGAACTTTGAGATCCTGATGAAGGTCAAGGAGAGTCTGGAGCTGATGGAGCTGGTGCCGCAGCACCTGGTCGACTCCTATCGGCAGCAGCAGCAGCAGCTCCTGCAGAGGCCGTGAGTGCCGCCCCCTCCCGCCCTGGGGTCCACCCCATCCTGCCTAACTGCCTAGGCGGGTGCGTGGGACCAGTTCCATGCAGCGGGGAAAATGGCAGCAGCACCAGAAGTCCCTCCCAAAAGTACAGCTGCCCAGGACAGGCAGCAAGGGCCCCGCTTGGCGCCCCCTCCTTCAGGAAGCCTTCCTTGAACCGCAGCAGCCACGGCCATCACTGTGCTTTCTCTCCCACCAATGGGTCCTCCCAAATGTCTGCTGAGTGGAGGATGAGAACAGGGTGGTCAGAGCCATGCCAACCCACCAATAGCGAAGGCTGATTCTAGTGGCACAAGCTGCCCCCACCTCCCTCCCCGCCATTGCCGAGGTCCTGAGGAGGGAGGTGCTGACAGCTCAGCATGGGGTCAGGGTCTCCATGCCCCTGCAGCACGGGCAGTACGTGGAGGTGACTGGAAGGGAAGGAAGCTGCCTGTGCTCTTACCAACACGAGTTGTCGCTTGCCGAGCAGGAGCCACCTGCAGCCCCCGTCCTACGGGCCTGTCCTCTCGCCCATGAGCAAGGTACATGGTGGCGTCAGCAAGCTGCCCTCAGTCAACCAGCTGGTGGGCCAGCCTCCCCCGCACAGCTCAGCAGCCGGGCCCAACCTGGGGCCCATGGGTGAGTCGCTCGGGCAGTGGGGGCCCGGGGGCCGGGCTGGGGAAGCTCTGGCCCGCGGGCAGGAAGCAGGGCCATGGCCAGTCCCCTTGTCCATTCTTGGTCTCAGGGACTTCCACGACTTGCGAGCCTCCAGTGGCTTGCAGAGCCTGGGACACGCGGCCCAGCCCCCTCTGACACACCAACTGCCTCTTGCCCAGGCCCTGGGATCCTCAACAACCACGGCCACGCCCTGCCGGCCAATGGTGAGATGAATGGCAGCCACAGCTCCCAGTCCATGGTCTCGGGGTCCCATTGCACCCCACCACCCCCCTACCACGCCGACCCCAGCCTGGTCAGGTATGTGGGCTGCTGCTGGGCCCTGCCACTAACCCACTAACCTGGTAACCCCAGCCGGGTGGGCGGTCTCTGCATGCTGCCGCCTGTCCTGGTGTTTTAACCGCTCTGCCAGCACGCAAACAGACAGAGGCAGAGAAAATGTCAGGAATGAGCATCCTACAGATGCTGGGGGGAAAGCGCAGAAAGCCAGGGGCTCCTTGGAGGCTGCGCCTGGGGGTGAGCATGTCCCCAACGCCGTGGCCACCAGCGGGGAGGGGTGGCTAGTGGAGTGGCCAGGAGGCGTCCTTCAAGAGGCAGTGCCCACCTGGCCAGCCGCACAGCCGGCACTTAGAAGTTAATGCTGCTTTATTTCCCAAATCTCTCTGCAGTTTTTTAACAGGATTGGGGTGTCCAAACTGCATCGAGTATTTCACCTCCCAAGGGTTACAGAACATTTACCACCTGCAGAACCTAACGATAGAGGTAACCGCCCCGGCCAGCCCTCGCCCCGCTCCGGCAGGCGCGGTGGAGCCCACCCCACAGACCAGCGTGCACAGGGCCCAGTCCAGAGGGCAAAGAGCTCTCCCTTCCTTTTGGGGCAGCCGCTCTGTCTCCTGTTCTCGCCTGTGTGAGGGGAGGCTGAGAAATCTGGAAAACCTTTCTTCCCACAAACGAGACCAATCTTTATCCTCACATCTGACTTCCATGCTGAAGTCAGCTCACAAGCGGTAGGCAGGTTCAGTTGTGCAGGTAGCAGGCTGGACAGGCCTCCCACCCGGGGCCCCAGCAGCTGGACCACTCATTTGGACTTGAGAGTCTTCTCCCATGCCCAAATCTTTGGCATCAGTGGCCAGGCTGCCTTTGATTTGGGGAGATGGGCTGTTTCCAAGGCACAAAGAATTGTAGATGGCAAAGACCAGGAGGGCCTCAGAGCTGGTCTAGTTCAGCACCATTTGCATGGGGAGAAACTGAGGCCCAAGGAAGACAAGAAACACCCCACTCACAGTACACACATGGCTGAGTGTCCTGGGTTCAGGATGTGGGGCTAGAAGCATCCAGGGCATCACAGCCAGACAGCCGTGGTTCATCTTCGAGTTAAACAACAACACGGGCAGCACATCCCTCCTCAGCTGTGAGCGACTTGACTGCTCGTAGCCTGGGGGCTCCTTGAGCCGTAATCCCCTGTTAGCCAAGGGAAGCACTGGCCCAGGAGACACAGCCCTGGGCCCGGATCCCAGGCGGGCTCCAGCTCAGTGGCCCCAGAGCTGGTCCAGGCTGGTCCCCAGCCCAGGGCTATAGGCCAGAGATGCTGGTCTGTCAGATGACCTGCAGCCCGTGGCTCAGAGGGTGGCCATCTGTGTGTCCACTAACGCTCTCTTCCCACCTGTCCCTGGTGACCCCTGCTGGGCTAGCTCAGTGTTAACCCTCACCTCACCAGCATGATGTGTGGGCTTGGTGTGTGCGTGGAGCAGGGAGGGTGACAGGAGCCACGATGATCTACTCTGGTCCCAAGGGACAGACCAAGGGGTGGCCCTGCCCTGAGGCTAGGGAGCAGGTCCTCCATCTGTCACTGTGACTGTGGTCAGGGCCCCAGGCTCACCCCTACTCACACACACTCACACACACACACACACACACACACACACCACTTAGTTCTCCTGCCACCTCTGGCTGCCACCTCATCCACAAGAAGGGGATGAGGCCAGATCATTGCCCATGAGGTGGGTCCAGCACTGCCCCTCCTTCTAGGCCCTTCAGAGCTGCTCTATTTCCCCCAGACTGTCAAGTACCAGGATGGACTGTGGCCCTCCAGGTCAGGGGGTTCCTGGCCTCCCTCCTGGCCCTCGGCCATGCTCACAGTCGGCCACGCTCACAGTCGGGTCTGCAGGAGCAGGGTGGACCCTCAGACTGACATGCCTGGCAGGAGGGGGAGAGGCAGGGCCTGTGGCTCAGCCTTCTAACGGGGTGGCCGGGCGACCGCTGCTCTTGCAGGACCTCGGGGCCCTGAAGATCCCGGACCAGTACCGGATGACCATCTGGAGAGGCCTGCAGGACCTGAGGCAGGGCCACGACTGCGGGGCGCAGCAGCTGATCCGCTCCAGCAGCAACGCCTCCACCATCTCCATCGGCAGCTCCGGGGAGCTGCAGAGGCAGCGGGTCATGGAGGCCGTGCACTTCCGCGTGCGCCACACCATCACCATCCCCAACCGCGGTGGCCCAGGTGGGGGCTCAGGACCCGACGAGTGGGCGGACTTTGGCTTCGACCTCCCGGACTGCAAGTCCCGAAAACAGTCCATCAAAGAGGAGTTCACGGAGAGTGAGATCAACTGAGGGAGGCGGGGAGGGCGCAGCCTGGGGGGTCCCTGCCTGCTGGCTTCCGGAGGAGCCCACTAGACCTGGTCCCATCTGACCCAATGGGCAGAGCAGAGCATGAGCACCTGCGGCCAGGAGTCCTGAGAAGCCTTGCTCTCTCTCGTCCTTTTTGTCAAAGACTGCCCTGGGAGGCAGGACCTTTGGGCTGTGCCCAGGAAAAGGCAAGGTCCAGCCCCGCGGCCCGCCTTCACTGGCCCCAGGAGATGCCTCCAGCCACTGCAGCCCGCCACGGGCAGTGGGAATGGCCCGTGAGGATGCCTGAGCTTCGCAGAGGGCGTGCTCCGAGGGCCAGCATCATCTGGGCCTCACTCCTCGGCCTCCTTTTCCTTAGGCACTCGCCTGCTCCCCAGCGAGATCCTTCGAAATAAAGGGTCGCCTTTGCTGATGGACTGCCAAAAAGTATTTCTCACTGTCTTTCGGATCTGGGTAGCAATGCGTGGCTCGGTGATTGTTATTTGGGGGTCAATGCTCCAGACTGTGTCTCTGCCCAGGGCTGGGTCCCTCTGCTGAACTTGAGGGTCAGTCTGTCCCTCGCACACTTGACCACTAGTTCAAACCCCAGTGCAGCTGCCTTCCACGTCCCGCCCAAAGCACACGTCAGCGTTTCACTGGAATTGGAGAAGACTGGGGAGGAGGGCTCTGCCGGGTGCCCAGTCCCTCCTGGGAGGCGAGGAAGCTTCTGGTCAATTGACACCAGCCAAAGCCCAGGCCAACGCCGCTGGCCGCAGTTGCCACTCTTCAGTGACCTCAGCATTGACATGGACAGCATGCTCCTCGGACTACTGGAAATTGTCAATATTTGATAAAATGATACCCTTTTCTACATGGTGGGTCAGCTTTTTTTTTTTTTTAACTCACCCTCGACATTCCCTTCAGGGTTCAACCTGGCGGCATTCTCAGGCTCCCAGGTTGATGGCAACAAGCTGGGCTAAGAAACCAGAGGGGCAAACCAGGTGGGGGTCCAAACCAGGTGAGAGACTGGCACTGGTTCCCGGATGGCTAGATGGGGACGAAGCCCAGAGCAAGGGCCGCCGAGGAAGGGGCAAGGAAAATCCGTCCGCGCCACGGCTCCTTGGCTGGGAAGCTCTGGGCTGGAGCAGCTCCCATCCCCTTGGCTACTTTTGCAGGGTGGGGGTAGGGCAGTGGGCTGCCTTTCTCAGGGTCACAGGGAGAGCCCCTCCCGGGTGGAGGGAGCAGTCGGCAGGAAGGCCCACCCCACGGGGCTCAGGGGCCGGGCTCTGTGCTGGGAGAGGCCCTCATGTCCTCAAGGGGACAGCACTGCGGCAGGTGGAGGGGTCCAGCCCTCCATGAGGCACCCTAAGGAGGCAGGGGGCATGAGGGAGGCAGCTTTTGCACTGATGGGGCCATTTCGGTCTGCATGGAACCATCTGAGCCTTTGCAGCCAGAGAATTGAGTCCCAGAGCCCGGTGTAGGGCAAGAAACAAGACCAGAGAAATGTGGGCAGTGGGGCATGAAGGAAACCCCTGTTCCAGCAGGTAGGATGAAGGGAATCCTCACTGACACACAAGCGGAGACACCACCTCAGGTGCAGGCCGCCAGGCGCTTTCCGAACACAGCCGGGCCTCCATCCGTTTGCCTGAGGCACATGTGGCCTTAGTCTTCCCAGGCTGGGCTCTCCTGTCACTAATGTCCCCAGAGAAGCAGGCCAGGGGAGGTGTATACACAGCCCTGATCACCCTCTGGGTTTCTTCTTGTTGCCGTAAACCACCCAGAAGATGCCCTGCTCTTTGGGGAAGCTAGGAAGCGCTGTCTTCAGGCTGTGTGTTCAGAGAAAGCAAGAGGTCCCGTGCAGGGTCCGTTCAGAAGTCAAGCTCCATCCCCCTCCACACTGAAAATGCCAATTTCTTCCTTAGACTTCCAGGCTCTTTAGGAGGCCGGACGTTGGGAGTAGGAAGGGCTGTTAATTGCATTAAAATGGTTCAGAGACTAGCCAGCAGGGGAAGGGAGCCCTCCAGCAGCTCAGAGCCCGTCTAACTCCAGTGAACAAAGCCACAGAGCCAGCTCTGCCTGAAACCCGCCGTCAGTGTCGCCCACAGACCAGGACTTCATCTCAGGAAGAGCGTAAACATCGCCAGTCTCTATTTATTTACAAGCAACAATTTGTGCTGACGCAGGTGTCTAGGATAAGGCACCCAGCCCCCCTCCACTGTGTGCTCCCCAGGGACCACCTTTCGAGGTTGTCACAGTGCCCAGGAGGCTCCACCCCGCAGCCAGGGCTAAGAGCCACGCGGTCACAGAGCCAGCTCATCCCGACAGGCAGTGAGCTTTGCCTATCAGCCCAGAGGTGCTCAGCTCTCGGGGGATCTGCAGTCTCCCCAGAGTACACAGCACGCCCAGGCGGCCCCAGTCACAGGGCTACTGCGGGCTGGGCATGGCTGCCCCATCCACGTGTTTCCTCATCTTGCTCTCACAAGGCCCTGGGGTAAGTACACTGTTCTCGCCATTTCCCAGACGAGGAAACTGAGGCACAGGAGGGCTCAGTCCCGTGCTTCAGGCGTCACTGCCAGCTCATGGCGGAGCTGGGCTGGAGTCTGGCACTTGCTCCAGGGCCACGTGCTGGAGCCCCCCAGTTGTCCCCCCTTGTACTGCCTCAGGAGCACAGGGGCCCACCCCCGACTCCCTGGGGTCCACTAACCCAGCTGAGATGCAGCTGAGTTCCCAAGTCTTGAGTGGCTTTGTTTCTTAGGCATGTTCCCCGTCGGCCCTTAGTCTGGCAGGGAATGCCACAAGGGCCCCCACCGTGTGCTCCTGGAAAGGGTTAGTGGGAGTTCAACGCTACAGGCACAGGGCAGGCAGAGCCCCCAGCCAATGACAAGGAAGGAGGAAGGGCATCAGACCACGAACAGTGGGCATCCTCCAGTGGGGGCCCCAGGTGCACACAGGCTCCTCAGACCCCCACAAACCTGTGTGAGGAGCTCACACCGAGCTTGCTTTTCTCCCTTTGCTGATGGAGGAGAGAACTAGCTCTGAGGATAACTGAGTAGAAACTTGGTCATCTTGAGGAGAAAATACAAACTGACAAAGCTTTAAGGTGTAAGATTTTTCCAGCAGTCAAGAGGTGAGAGGTTAGCTGCTCGCTGGGAAATAGCCTGGAGAGCGAGCTGGGCCTGAGGATGCCGCTGTGCTGAGTGACAGCCAGATAGGAGTGACAGCACACCAACACCCGCGGAGTTCAGCAAGAAACCAGCAGCGAACCAGTCCCTCCCACCTTTCCCCCACACCATTCCATAGCGGGCTTTGGCCGTTTCCAAACATTCACCACCAGGGCTGGGCTGCTGGGAAGTGGCTGTTCCTTGCAGGTTTGGTTGCACAATCGGCAGCCCAGGCCCCCGACACGCACGGATCTGGGACGCGGTGTAACTTGTACCTTAGAACAGGTCAGCGTTTCAGCCACACAAACATCTGCTTCTGTTGCGGTCGATTAAAGCACTTCACTGCTTTAAGTTTGGTAAAAAACACCACCCATGTTTTAATGTAATATAATGCTTCTTCGAGCAGTATTAATGGATATATTCCAATGATAATAACTTTTTTTGGTAATGTAATCTCCAGAAAATGTGTTATTTTTTTAGCTGTGTTTTGGTGGGAATTTTTGTTTTTGTAACATAATAAAGCACATGTTCCCATGACTCTCTCTCATGAATACATCAGATCCGACAACAGCACAGACGAACAGGCAGCCCCTGACAGGCAAGGGAAACTGTGGCCTCAGCGGCTTGGCCTGGGCTTCTCCCAAGTGTCCAGTGAATGCGAGGCACCCGCGGGGCACCCTCTCCCCTGCGCCTCGGAGCTGTGTGCTCAGCGCCGACTCGAGTCACAAGAACGGCCTGTGGGCAGACAGACGCGTGGTTCTGTCCGAGCAGAGCCGGCTAACCTCACAGGACTGACCTCGGCCTGGTCATCTCAGGCCTCCTGAAGTGCAGGCCACGACCTCTCATCCAAGCTGCAGGAGGCCCGGGGGTCTCGACTTCAGAAAGATCACTGGGGCGTCCATGTAGGTCATGAACACCTGCCCTCCCAGGTGTCTGGAGTCCAGTGCGTTCACATTTCTCTGCAGAACTTAGGAAAACGAAAGATGATGGCCAGGAGCTCGTGTCTGCTCAGCTCAGGCCTGAGGCCACATGGGCTTCATTTCCGCTCCTCCCGTTCCCAGATTTCTGGATTTCAGAACCGTGAATAAGGGACTGGGGACCAGCCGCAGCAATAGGGCTCTTGTTCAACCTCGAGAGAGGAGGCCCGAGTCTTCAGACACTGGGCTGAAACTACGAACAAGGTTCAGAGGGAGCCCACACTCCTCAGCACTCACCAAGCGGGGAGGGCTCCGCCGGGCCGCCAGGCGCAGGGAGGCGAGGGGGGCCCCGCCCCAGCTTTCTGGTTGGGCCTGTGCACCCACACTCCTCACACAAAACCTGCTCATCCCTTGCCCCACAGCTGTCATCCGTCCCCAGGGCCCACTGTGGAGGGCTGAGCAAGACATGCCCCTACCCCACCACAGGGCAGGAATCCGAGTCACAAACACGCCAACGCCTCAGAAGTGGACGGGAAACAAGATCTCGGGAGGTTTAATTAGAAAGACCCTGGCACCTACATCGTAGAAACAGGGACTTTAAAAATGCCCTTTGAGGACTGAACACAGTAATGCCAGTGCTTTCAGCACAAGGGCAATTTTAATATCTTTGTTAAAAAACGTGTTTTGTTTTTTTTTTTAAGTAGAGTACAAGAAAGACAGTTATTTTCAAACATATAAAAACATCTTCGCTAGGTTTGACAGATAATTTTAAAAAGATAACCTGGTTCAAAGCTGATCTGCCACTTTGCAAGGCACTATGGTTCCTGGAACATTCCGTCCATGTAACTGCTCAGGAGAGGAGAGCAGGCCTATCGCTGAGATGCGCCCTGTGCCCTGGCGGGAGGGAGACGGTATCGGTTCATTTCCCCACCGACACCCAGAAAGAAAGTCTATGTTCAGTCAGGACTAGAACAATGGTTTTTTAATATCAT